AATACTAACGTGTTCTTCTACTTACCTTATTTGATTCCTCACCTTCGCCAAATCACAGTTCTCATCTTCCACTTTTCTTGTTTTTATTCAACTCTAAACCAAATCGAAAGTCCTTCATCAAGAAGAATCTATGGCTGATCATGAAGGTGGAGGAAATGATCCAGGAAGGAGAAGATCATCTTGGCTTCAAAAGCTGATCGACGTGGAAGAATCCAAAGCTCAAATTATCTAACGCACTTCCAATGATATTCACTAATGTTTTCTACTATTGTATACCTTTAACCTCTGTTATGTTTGCTTCCCATCTCGGCCAACTCGAGCTCGCCGGTGCCACTCTCGCCAATTCTTGGGCCACGGTCACCGGTTTTGCGGTCATGGTTTCTTCTCATGTTCCTTAAGAACTTGTGGATGACTTTTTTCTGAATTTTGTTTTAACATACATTCCAAGATATATGCTAATGAGATTAACCTCCTTTAATTTTTCAGATGGGTTTAAGTGGAGCACTTGAGACATTGTGTGGACAAGACTTTGGTGCAAAAAGCTATAGAATGTTGGGGATCCATCCAGCCCTGCCAAGAACACAATGTTGACAGTTTCTGGATCCATCTACAATAATCTTGCATAGTATCATTAGTCTTCACCATCTTCATCACCATTTCCTGGTTCTTCACAGAGTCGGTTTTCAGAATTCTCAGACAAGAACCTAACATCTCAAAACAAGCTGCAGTCTACATGAAGTACCAAGCTCCCGGTTTACTCGCTTTCGGGTTCTTACAAAAGATTCTAAGCTTTTGCCAAACACAGTCCATCATTACTCCGCTAGTCATCTTCTCGTTCGTTCCCTTGGTGATTAATATCGGTCTCGCATATGTTCTGGTTTACGTCGCTGGTCTTGGATTCATTGGTGCTCCAATAGCTACATCTATTTCAATGTGGATAGCTTGGTGATTAATATTGGTCTCGCATATGTTCTGGTTTTGTTTTTCACATCAACAAAAGTAACTCATTATGAGTAAATGTTAAATAAAATCAGCGTCAACACGGAAACGATTAGCTACATGTTAACATACGGCCTTAGCGCAGTTGCAAGGTCAGTCATCTCATCAATCATTTCTTAAACCTTATTTTCGAAAATTTACAAACTAAAAAATTTAGTTGAAAAATGTTGCAGTACGCGTGTGTCCAATGAACTCGGAGCAGGAAATGTAAAGGGTGCAAAGAAGGCGACTTCTGTAACGGTTAAGTTGTCTTTAGTTCTTGCTCTCGTCGTAGTACTTGCTTTACTTGTAGGTCATGATGGGTGGGTTGGGTTATTCAGCAATAGCCTTGTGATCAAAGAAGAGTTTGCATCCTTGAGGTTTCTTCTTGCGGCCTCTATAACTCTTGATTCGATCCAAGGCGTTTTTTCAGGTAAAACATCCAAGAAATCTTCTTCTTTGTCGAATCATCAAGCACCGTATAAATTTTGTTTTTACTTTATCTTCAGGAGTTGCAAGAGGATGCGGATGGCAGCTCTTAGTCACGGCTATAAATTTGGGAACATTTTACTTTATTGGAATGCCAATTGCAGCTATTTTTGGTTTCAAATTGAAGTTTTGTGCCAAGGTAAATGTTATGGCTCTTATGAAATTGGTAAAGCAAATATTTATGTTCTTTATTTGTTGTTGTGTTTGATTCTTCGTCTTGTTGAAAACAGGGCTTGTGGATTGGTTTGATATGTGGGCTATTTTGTCAAATCCTCATCTCTCTTGCTTATGACAATTTTCCGGAAGTGGACAAAGCTGAATGTTTCAGTTTGAAACTAGTTTCAGTTGGAACTTAGAACTTATCTTTGTCATTGTTTTCTTTGTTTCTTTTCGGAATGTAAGAGAAAGAATGAGGTTCTCAAAATGGATCGGAGATCGAATAGTCCATCATCAGCCTAAACCAGTCAAACAAGTGAAACAAGATATTGGGAATTAAAAGATAAAAGATCATGATTTTGAAGAGTATCCAAGAAACAAAGACGGGTAAATGAATAATTGAATCATCATATGTTCATAACAAGAGGATACATACACTTGGACAAAGACAATGGAAATGAACAAAATGCCCTTTAAGAGATGCAAAGAAAAACAATAACACAAACATTTGTATAAAAATCATATGTAAAAACATAACCAAAGCCAACAATGATAACCTATCATCATCACAAGCCCAATTCCAAAATCAAACACATAACTGGAATTATTTGCTATTTTTGAAGAAGTTAAGATCCCACCTGCGTATTAACCCGTCTAAGACTTTGCTCGGTGCGCTACTACTACGCTCAACTGTCACTGTGGCCTTTGTAACTGCTGACATGTCACCGGTCTCACTTTCCTTCTCTCTCGAATAGCCAGGCACAGAAGCGTTTACGGGTCCTGTTAGAGAAGCCGGGGTCTTACTTGGAACATTGGACTCGGAAGATGATGGTCCTAAATCATGGCTATGCGTTGCTGGACTGGAAGCAAAATCAGTCTCTGATTGGTTTGCTCGAGTTGAAGTTGATTCTTCCATGGAAGAAAGGCTTTGAGCTGCAGTTAAAAAAGCATAGCTGCCATGCACTCTCTTCTCAGGAGATTCTTCTTTCTGATGACTTTGCAATTCCAAGTCCTTCAATGATTCCATCACCGCTTTCATAAGCATCTGAATCAAGTAATAACATTACTAGGATGTCAAATATAAGATAGATATATTAGAAGGTTTAATTAAAGTAGAATATCCATTTTTCAATCTCACCCTTTCTTCTTCCTCTGCATTAGACGGGAAATTAGCCATATCCTCCATGTGATACTCCACATATTGATCATCATCTAAAGCCATCCCGAGCTGAGGAGGGCATCGATCACCGTTAGGTAAATCAAAGCTTATCATATCAGAAGATGAACTGTCACGGCCATCATGATTTTCTTTTTCCTGAAACGAAATCATTATTATGCCACATCAGGAAATTCCACTGTGCCTCTTTTCATTGCTTTTTCTTCTATATTTTACACGAGTATAAGCTGGTCACCAAGGCACTTGCGTCTCTACCATTGTTTATCGAATGACCATAAAATGATCAAACAACCATATACTGTACTTTACGTGGTCACTAGTAACCATAAACAC